TCTAAATTTTAACCTTCAATACCTTTAACGACAAAAAAAATGTTAAGGAAATATCTATATCACGGGGTATGCGTCTGGTCCCTTTAATAATGAACTGCTAATTTTCAAAATCGAAATTCTTCAAAATTTCATGGACCACTTGAAGTGGTTTGACCCATTTGTGTTAAAAGAAACAAAAATTTTTTTAATAGGTTTTGGTGAACGTAAAAGTTGTAATAATGTAAACCCATTTAGGTATTTTGGTGTTGAAAATCAAGTTTTTTGTTTACATTTTCATTGCGCAACACAGTTATTGAACATTGACCTGGTGATCAGCGAAAATTTTCGTTTGCAAGCAGATATACAAATAAACCATGATGGACTTCTATTCGGAAAATTCTATGGTAAATAAATTTGATATCGATGAAAAAAATAGTGTGGAAGTGAAAGAAAAAGTGTTTAATGTACTGTGCGAAATAAACTGGCATAGCTCAGCGAATTAAAAGACAGCGGCTACGCTGGATAGGTCTTGTTGTCCGAATGGACGAAGACTCTGAAAGTATTCGGCGCAGTACCCGCCGGGGGGAAACAGATGAAGTATTCGCTACGTGGCGCAAATTGGATATTCCAAGCGAAGCCAGGTCTTTCTCCACCTGGTTCTTCCAAACGGAGTGGTGGTCTCCTTCCTCTGCTTCCCCCGGCGGGTACTTCATCGAATACTTTTCGAGCTGCGCTGACCATTCGAACAACATAACCTATCCAGCGTACATACAACATAACCTATCCAGGGAGGCTGAATTTACCGGTTGTTGAGCCACATATACCTTATTTTCCCAACCTGCCGTCAAAGTCGCGAAGCACGATTTTGACATCGTGGCGGGGGCAGCTCTCTATATGCGCTCCAAGCGCTCATAGAAGGAATCTTTGGTCACATCGTCCTTCTCTTCACAAATCAGGGATATGTTGAAGAACTTGGCTTTGATGCGGATTGTGGCTAGACGTTCATCCACCGGAATGAATGATAGGACTTGGCGACGCAGTATCTCTTCCACCACGAATTCCACACGTTCTTTCGGAATAAACCAGTTCATTGTAAAATGACGAAATAAAAAAAGTATAAATAAAGTAACAGCTGCCAAAAAACCCAACTAGGAAGGAAGTATTCCGCTCTGAAAAACTAATTTAAAAAAATTTTCGCTTAAAACGAAACTTCGTCTAGCCCCCATATAACTATTACAAGGATTTTCGAACATCCAGCTGACTTTACTCCATATTAGTGATTGTATGTGAGATGCCTTAATAAGCGCCAGAGAAAATTTTTGTAGTATGTGGCAGCACGCACGCACGTGCACGTTAAGAGATAAATCGAGTCGATACTACACTAAACTGCAACTTACTACATGTTTTCATTTCTTTTTCATTTTTCTAACAAACCAAATGTTCGGTTGCATTCGAACTTAGTCCTTCTTTACCTGTTGTTTTTAATTTTTTTTGTATTGTAAAAGTTACCAGAGAGTAATRAGTAACTATTGTATTTTCTGAGGAAATTTAAAGCATCAAAATTTCCCATTGCATAAAATAATGTTATAGATTCCAGTAGGTTAAGAATATCATGATTTCAGAATTCACCCGTGTAAACATATGGATGACCAGCCAAGGTATATAGTTTTGTATTTTTAATAGTGTCGCTTAAACTTCCTCCAAAATTGGCCGCTTAACATATTAATATGTAAGTATTTTAGATTACATGGACCTTCTGTTTGGATTGATTTTAGTTCTAGTTCT